TCGAATTGGGCGGTAGGCCGGCCTAAGACAACGATTTTTAATAATTAATTACTCGTTAACTATTACGAAAATTGCAAAATGGTACAGGACTTTTCCGTTCATCTCGATCTGTTCTACCTTCTCAAAAATTTTGTCGGATATGGAAAGACTCACCCTGTATATCACGCTTATCTTTTGAGCATTTGTATAGCATAGATTTTCGCCTCGGGATGTACGAAGGAACGATTGTGCTTTCTCGAAGAAACCGCTACCAAAATTAGACGTTCCGTATAAATTGCCGATTGTGGCATGGCTCTTCGTCGAAGTAATAATAATATTGTTGTCGTCGGGACACCATCGCGAAACCGGGCAGCGGCTATTTTCGAGAGCGCCTCCGTTCGCAAGTTTCAACAGCATACTGTAAATCCGGACGCTGGTTAACCCGCCACTATTTTAAACCGTGGCAGTGTAAACGTGAAAAGAAATACGGGTCCGTAAAGCGGCGTTCTCGGAAAACAAATCGTGATTTTACGTAATCTCTTTCCTCGATCCCGATATTGAACGTCATTATTTATACAGCGGCAGTTCAGAAACGCTCGTGCGGCGCGCGCGATCCTAAAGACGGCTCCGTCCAAAGGAAGGAAAACGCGGAGGAAATGATATTAATACATCAGTGTTAAGTAACTACTAATACGCCGTTAAACAAAAAACATGCGTGTGCAAGCGATTTTCTTTCAGCTCTAGTATCTACGGTGTAAATTAAAGTTGCTCGCGCAAGATCGTCAGTTATTGCGATTCGTATTCAGCGCTGGATCGCAAAGCAGCCGTTCGACAGTATCGCGAGCGGCGATCTCGAGGAAAATCCAGTCTCGCGTGACGAGGCACCGCGCGCAATATATGCGCGAAAGGCGAGAAATGATCGAGATGTTTGCGTCGCCGCGCGTGCAATAATCGACGACACATTGCTACCGGTTACGATCCTAATTGAACAAGCTCGCGGAAAGGTAGAGCGTACGGTCGGCCTAATTGTCGATCAAAGCGAAATGCGCTCGCTCGCAGGCGATTAAATGGTAGGCGCCGGCGATGGAAGAGGAGGGAATCGACTAATTGGACGTACAACTTGAGATCTTGTATGCACAGCCGGGCGAGAACGTTTTCTCGCGGCCGAGGAAACGGAGGTGGAGAGAAAACAAAAGACCAGGGCGAAAGAGAGAGACTGCGCGCGCGCGCGCGCGGATACGATCCTCGTGCGAACGCAAATCGATGAAATCGAGAATGGGAACAGAAATAGACTTGAAGGAAACAGGTTCGCGGGGCCTCGTGCGCGGGTGGCTCGGTTTTGTTAGGTTTTATTAGTTTAGCTGCTCTGCCTCGTCGTCACTTAGAGATCTGTGATCTCTCGGGCTATTAATCGTCTTATTTCGCTCGTTTCATTTAATTTACTCGTTCCGCAAACTCTTTCTCGCGCAGTCGCCTCGCATCGTGTATCGCGACGTCATCAAACGTTCAGATGCCGAGTCGAGTACATTTGTGCTATCATTTCTGGTTACCGAATATTGAATATTGGAGAAGCCTCCCCTTAGGAAAATGTACCTTAGAGAGGCTTAAAATTGTACTTCAAAAAAATAAGAAATTTGAAAAGTGGGCACTTTAAACTTTTATTTGAAGAAAACTCAAAAGTGCTCTGCCGCGCGGCCCTCTAACGGGAACTTCGCCAGGCTTGGCTATCTAAAAATTACTTCAAGTGTCCCAAATTACTCTAAAAGTTCTCAAGTAAGCTTGTAATATCTTTAAGTAAACTCTTAGATTTGAAAAGTTACTTTTAGAAACTTTAATTTCACTTGGAGTAAATTTTCCCAAGGGTTCAAATATGCGAAGAAACGATTACGCCCAAGAAATGAAGATAGAATACGCGCGTTGCGAATAGCATATCGAGGCATCCACGGGCACGGCACAACTATCCGCGCGTTCCGTCCTCTCGATCATCCGCGAGCGCGCGGTAAAAAGGAGGAATTGTTTGGATCGCTCCTTTTATGCCGATCCCGCGTTGCCGATTGATCCCGTTCGCGCTCCATTTGCCGGATAATATAACGTGAAATCAGGCGGTCGCCGCGCCCGATCGCGCGATTTCCTGCCGATCATGCTCGCGTCCGGCAATCTCGCTTTTCTTCTCGCGCGAGTCGGAATCGTGCCGTATCGCGCCGCCGATCGAGATACCGCGCGGCGTTACGAGGTGTGTAAACCGCGTCTAATTCACGCCGCGAAGTTTACCCCGCTAATTTACATTAGCGCGTTCGACTCGCGCGCGCGTTTACGAGCGGCGCGAAAGACTACGTCGTGCGCGAATAATATTTTTAGCCCCCTCCCCCGCGCGCTGACCAAAGGGAACTTTACGAGCCGGCGATGTGCTCTAAGCGCGGTTCGCTTTAATTGGTTCGCGCGCACGTTGCCGCCCCGTCGGAGACCTCGCTACGCAACGTTTCCTCGCGGATTTATGAACCCGAGCGCGGCCGAAGTTGCCTCGGCTAGAGAGCGCGAATTTACAGCGGTAATCGGATTCGTTAGGGATATTTTCCAGGCGGCGTTTAAATAGCCTCATATTAAGCTCGAGCTTAACTAATCAGATCACATATTGTTAGAGAGATGCGCGGGAAGAAAAATGTGGCCGTCGTAGCTAAAGACTGCACGTGGCAACTCAATTTCAGTTGTTAAATGTGGACGGCTAATATTTATTTGTGATAGCTAAACATTTTGCTACTGTGCCTATTGCATTAGGTGCGACGGCAAACCGTTTGCTGCACTTTAGGAATTTATAATTATGGCAGCAAAATATTTTTAGTCGAGTGACAAAGAATTTAAGGTGAAACAAAAATTTTGTTCTGAAATACCAATATTGAAATAATTAAGATATTTCTGAGGATCCAGTTCACCCAATTGCAAGATTCGTTGTCACAAGCTATAGGATCCACTTGAAAAGGACCAGTATTACTGGCCGAAACGTCGTGGTAAAATTTAAAATAAAATAAAACTGCCAGCCTTGGTCGATCTAACCCTTGAGTATTTTGTTTTAATTACTGGCGATACAACAATTCTAAATTTGGTGCAAGATTATTGTTCGATTCGATACACTGTTAATCGTCGATGATAAGTTAGTATCTTGATAGATGAAAGCAATTTATGTCTCGAGTGCTTAAATTCGTTGTTGTACATGTATATAAATTGCGACGTAAATTCTAGGCATGATGAATGATGCGTGGTCAGTGCGCAACGTCACGTGCGGCAATTGCCAAGCATCGAAATATGGTAGGGTCAACGACAGGGTGGGTGTATTGGCACTAAGAATAGACCGCGTACTGTAACCAGTTCGCCGGTTACTTCTTGAGATTACGAAGCTACGCTGGCGCACGGGCGTCGGAGGGAAGGTGGAAATGTGGGTCAAACGCCTCGCAGGACAGCCAGGCGAAACATGAGGCGGGAACCTCTTATTTGTATCTTTCAACGCCCCCAAATAAATCCAGGGTGGCAAGAAATGCCGGTGTTTTAACCAAAGTGTTTAAGCAGTCTTAAATTTATATATCAACGACATAATTTAAATGTAAGGATTAATCGTTGCTTTTAGGTTTGCAGCAAATGAAATCAGTGTTCGAGTCTTAGCCGTCAGGTTTTTCAAATAGGCCAATAATAGTTGACTCGCTGCAACGCGATAATTAAATTTACTTTTACTTCTGCACGCCGAGCAAAGTCCGAAAAGCTAGCATGGCAAACAGCTAATTATCTAATCTGGGCGCAGTTAACCGCGGTATAGTGGCACTCATCCGCAATTAGCATCTGTCCCGCGTACCGTTCGATTGTTTCTCTCCCGAGCGAATTCCGAAACCGGTCCTGTCGCGCCGATTCTCGATCGTGAGTCACGATCGTGCGTTCCGGACCGGCGATCCCTCGCCAATCGATTTTTCTCCGAAGAAACGTCAGCGAGCCTCAGCCGCGGCGACACCAAAGAGTCCGGCGGTTTCGAACTCACGACGCTCAATTACTTGCTCAATGAATCGCCAATTATGTCACACGCGATCGAGCATGCGGAATCTCGCGAGGTCGTTACATTGCTCCCGCGAACGCGTTAACGTTTCAACGCCGGCGCGGTTGACGCGGCGATCTAAATTAGTCCCAGATTAATGTGGACAGGGCGCGAGTCCGCGAGATCCTAAATTTACCTCCACCTCGACCGACATTTATATACGATTGCACGCTAACGCTGTACTATTTTCAATCAAAAAGACCAACTGTCAATCACCGATAAAAGCATGCCACGTCACCCGTGAATTACCGCTTTGGCATTTAATGGCGAAGACACGCCAAAAGTGCGCGCGAACCGACGCGTTTGAGATTTCAAGGCGAAAAGACAGATATTACTAAAAAATATCAATTGTTATAAATAATATTATTTGACGCTTCCTTCAAGGCATTTTCTCGACGTCTTCACGCGCGAAAGGTGGCGGCGTACACTAGGAATTGCTGATGCTTTCCAATATGAATGTCGGCACAGATAGAACACATATACATTTACCATGTACGTACATGCAAAATGTAGAGAAAAGTCCCGTATTATGAGTTGGGCTCCTAATATGAGACAGCGGGGTTTCTGTTAAATTAATAGGCATCATCTGTTGATTTTATTATGAATTTATTGCTCTTGGAGCGAAATCTGTTTAGTGGAAAATTCACCGTTAAGTTGTGGGATCGTTGCGAAAAAGATTTGACTGAATTTGGACGTTGAAAACCTGCTATCTCGTGTTAGAGACCTATCTCGTAATAGAGGACTTTCCTCTATAAATGTGTTGAGCGCGCAAATTCGTGTGGGAAGGCACCGGTGATTCCTAGTGTACGTTAAGTAATTAAATACCTTTAGACGAGAGGCTTTGCAGTTAATCACTGCCTAGAAATGGGAACCGTAATCAGCTGCAGTGTCGCATTAGCGCGTCATCTGTTGAAATTAAGATAACCAACGTGAATGATCCCGTTACCTTTATCGTCGAAATGGATTACGTTGCATCTATCATCGGCCGCGATATCGCATTTATAGACTGCGCCTCCTCGGTAGACGCCGGCCTGCGCAGTTTCAGCCTCCGGTGCGCCCACAATCGCCCTGAAAGAAAAATAAGTAACACGCTATCAGCGAAATTGAATACCAACGAAAGCGACGCGCTACAGCACAGCCTCGATTCACGCTCCGATATAGGTTTGTTTGTTTCGACGTGACAATTGCGAATTGTCTCGTAAAGACGATCGCGTCCACCGTCGATTGATTTCGTCGATATTATCACTTGTATCGATTTAAACGGCGCTCGATAACGGATGCACGTGCAGCGCGTCGGAGATTTGAGATCAGCGGTCGCGCGCTATTTCGATCAATGGCGTAAGAACTGGCAGCAAAGTCCGGCTAATGGACGGACGATGAATCGCGTTCGATGGACAGCTCTCGCTGTCAAAATCTCAGGTACAGCTGCTCTATTGAGACGTCAAGAACTGCCAATTACACGCTCCGAACTAGGCTAATACTACGTACTCGAGAAGAGTCATCAAACGCGCGCACGATCGCAGGCATTTGCCTCTCGTGCAATTTTCTCTCTTTTCTCGCAGAGAAGGCACTACAATTTGATTTATTTCCAACCCCGCAATCTCATATCTCTAATAGACCTACTCCCCGATGCCTTGCTCGTTGCATCGATCCCATTTAAGTCTTCTCCTCCCTGTCTGTCCTTTTTTTTTCATTATCTTTCCATTACCTGTATCTACTGTGCCACGGATCGCCAGAATGAGAATTAATGTTGCCTACTGTAATCTTTTCGCGAGATCTGTTATCTAATTGATTGGAATGACCGGCGTTGTTTCAAACGAGTCGTACTGCATTTTCAAGCGGCGATAAAATACCGATAAGAAATTAATCGTGAATGTGGTGGCCGTAAAACCGCCGGGCATTGTAATTACTCTAGGTCTCATTTCCGGGGGAAAGCATTGCGCCGCAATTACGCGAGGAGATCTTCTCCGCGAAAATGGCTTTATTAACGCAACTTTTACTACGCATAATTAATCTTAACGGCAGCGCGACTGGGCGTCAAATAGCGCGATTAAGTGTCGGCCGAGGTGAGAGGAAAAAAAACTACGGAGCGAAGTAACGAAGGCCGCCCGACACCTTCAATTACGTTAACGATCGCCGCTTCGCGTGCCAAATTGACCATTACCGTTATTGAACGGAAGACGCCTTTTTTTTACGCAAGCGCCTCTCCCACGGATATTCGGCGGTATCCCCGATGTTAGAATAATTGGAGCCCGGTACTCCGAGGTCTACTTTATTGCCCGCGTGATAATTTATTGTCCGCTCTTCGCCGGCCCGACCGGCGGCCCAGCGCGTAACGCGGCCCGGAGAGACGGAAATAAAAGGGCGCGAGGTGACCAGCGCGCCCAGACAATATGAAAATGGGATGGCGTAAGACAATCGATCGTGTAATTATCTCCGGAGGGCGTGTCGGCCGCGGACCCCGAGGGAGCATCGACATCACCCTGACCTATCAGTTAGGTAATTAAGTTCACTCGCGGAGAGTGCCCGACTTATACAGTGATGCGTATTTTTATATTAGGGACTTGAATAAGTTCGCGCTGTCTTTTCCGTGAAAATTAATGCTTCATTTAAAACAACGTTGCCGTATAAATAGTAGGGGCATCTCATAGAACTTATAAACATGGAAGGGGAAACGGATCGGCACAAGTGAAGCCAAGAAGTGAGACAGAAGAAACTAGAATTCTGTCTCGTTCTATGACTTTTCCTCGAAATACGCATGCGCAGCCAAAACGAGATTACAATAACGCATGCGCGGCCAAAACGAGATTACAATAACGCATGCGCGGCCAAAACGAGATTACAATAACGCATGCGCAACGATTTTAACGCATGCGCATAACGGACCAAAGTCATCTTCTATCTATCCTTGTCACACAGATGTTGGACTCAGTTTCAGCTCACGGAGAGTATATGCTATTCCCCTTCCATGTTTATAAGTTCTATGGGGCATTTATATTGTTTTGTGTTGCAACATTCACTAAGTTTGCTGCACAAAACGCATATAGGGGAACCTGGGGCATAACGGAACGGGGCATAATGGGATATGATCTATAACTTTTTACAGAAGTGCTGTTATGTATTGAAATATTTTGCAATTATTGCTATTAGATGATCCTTATCGCGTGCTGTTATCAGTTGTCATGTTATTTTTAACTGAAAAATGCCAT